GGAACGCTAAAGCGGGGTCCGGATGCGCCAGCACCGGAGTCGAGGTGAACAGGTCCTTCAGTTGTCCAAACGCCCTGTCCGCCTCAGCCGACCACTGCAAACGCACCGGGCCCCCCTTCAGCAGGGAGGTGATGGGAGCTGCTACCTGTCCAAAACCCCGGATAAACCTCTGGTAGTAATTGGCAAAACCCAAAAACCGCTGCACCTCCTTAACCGTGGTTGGAGTCGGCCAATTACGCACGGCTGAAACGCGGTCAATCTCCATCTCCACCCCTGACGCGGACAACCGATGGCCCAGGAAGGAGATGGACTCCTGGAAAAACAGACATTTCTCTGCCTTGACATACAAGTCATGCTCCAACAGCCTAGCCAACACTCGACGCACCAGGGCTACATGCTCGGCTCGTGTAGAAGAGTACACTAGAATGTCGTCAATATACACCACTACACCCTGCCCATGCAAATCCCGGAAGATCTCGTCCACAAAGGATTGGAAGACTGAAGGAGCATTCATTAACCCGTATGGCATGACGAGATACTCATAGTGACCCGAGGTGGTACTAAATGCTGTCTTCCATTCATCTCCCTCCCTAATGCGCACCAAGTTGTAGGCGCTCCTGAGATCCAGTTTTGTGAAGAAACGCGCTCCGTGTAATGATTCCGTCATTCTCGCAATCAGAGGGAGAGGATAACTGTATTTAACAGTGATCTGATTGAGACTACGGTAATCAATACACGGGTGCAACCCTCCATCCTTCTTCTTCACAAAAAAGAAACTCGAGGACGCAGGAGAAGTGGAGGGCCGTATGTATCCCTGTCTCAGAGACTCGGCTATGTATGTCTCCATAGCCGCCGTCTCCTCTTGAGACAGAGGATACACATGACTACGCGGAAGTGCAGCACCTGCCTGGAGGTCTATCGCACAATCCCCCTGTCTATGAGGTGGCAATCGCGTCGCCCTCGTCTTGCTGAACACGAGTGCCAAATCATCATACTCAGGAGGAATGTGCAGTGCGGGCACTTGGTTCGGACTTTCCACCGTTGTCGCCCCTACGGGCAACCTAGACACCGCCCGACACACTGGTCAGACCACTCCTTGAGAGCCCTCTGTTGCCACGAAATGGTGGGGTCATGGGAGATTAACCAAGGAAGTCCCAGCACCACGGGATACGCAGGAGAGTCGATCAGATACAACTGAATGATCTCCTCATGACCCCCCTGCGTCTTCATCTTTAGTGGCGCTGTGACCTCCCTAATCAACCCAGATCCCAACGGACGGCTATCTAGGGCATGAATAGGAAAGGGCACATCTACTGGTAGGAGGGGAATCCCTAAATTAACAAAAAAATTACGATCAATAAAATTCCCAGCTGCGCCTGAATCGACTAGCGCCTTATGCTGGGAATGAGATGCAACCTGGGGAAATACTACTGGTATACACAGGTGAACAACAGAGAGCGGGTAGCCAGCAGGGTATCCAGACGGATCGACATGTCCACCAACTGATCGAAGTTTAGATTGGTGTCCCTGCAGGCCAACTCTCGTCGAACGTCCTCTCGCAGGCTGCACCAATAGTGGTCGATGAGGGCCCTCTCATTCCACCCCGCATCCGCCGCTAGAGTCCGGAAGTCCAGGGCGAACTCTTGTGCGCTCCTCTTCCCCTGTCGGAGGTGGAACAGACGCTCCCCCGCCGCTTTACCCTCTGGGGGATGATCGAAAAAAGCCCTGAAGCGGCGGGAGAACTCCGCGTAGCTGATGGTGGCGGCATCTATTCCCCTCCATTCGGCATTGGCCCACTCCAACGCCTTGCCGGATAGACAGGAGATGAGGGCGGAAACGCTCTCGTATCCCGAGGGCGCCGGGTGTATGGTTGCCAGGTAGAGTTCCACTTGAAGTAGGAACCCCTGACACCCGGCTGCGGTGCCATCATATGCCCTCGGGAGCGAGAGCCGAATCCCACTGGACTCCGGAGATGGTACGATGGGGCTGGCCGATGGTGGTGGTAATGTAGAAGGAGGTGTCCATCACGTCTTGCATGGCGGAGCCGAGTCTATGGATCATGGCGTCCTGGCTGCTGACCCGATCCTCCAGTGACTCAGTCACCGCCGCTGCTCCTGCTGACTCCATGGGTGGTGTGTTATTCTGTCAAAATGCTGAAGTGTATGCAGCGGTGAAGTCAGGCGCAGGACACAGAAGATCAGTAACGACTGCTTTACTTTCCAAAAATACGCACAAAAACAAAAGCCTCCAAAACACAAGAGGAGGATAATACACGGAGTGCGTAATAAACAGGATGATCAATGCCAACCATACATACAGGACACGCGGACAATAACACACAAAGGCAAACATAAAACAAGAGAACTTATATGTAACATAATCAATACAGAATACGAAACAGGTGTACCAACTAGACATTACAAAACAAACATCGAAAACATCGAGCGGTAGCAGCTAGTACTCCGGGGACGACGAACGCCGAAGCCTGCCCGAGCAAGGAGGAGGAGCAGCCTCGGCGGCATCCGTGACACTCCCAAACACCTGGTCAAGCTCTACTACTGGGCCTCTGCACAAGGCCTAGCTACAGTCCATTCAGAAAGTATTCAGACACCTTGACTTTTTCCACATTTTGTTACGTTATAGCCTTATTCTAAAATTGATAAATTAAATGTTTTCCCTCATCAATCTACACACAATACCCTATAATGACAAAGTAAAAACAGGTTTTAAGAAATGTTAGCTAATTTATTAGAAATTTAAAACAGAAATACCTTATTTACATAAGTATTCGGACCCTTTGCTATGAGACTCGAAATTGGGCTCAGGTGCATCCTGTTTCCATTGATCATCCTTGATGTTTCTACAACTTGATTGGAGTCCACCTGTGGTTAATTCAATTTTATTGGACATGATTTGGAAAGGCACACACCTGTCTAATATAAGGTCCCACAGTTTACAGTGCATGTCAGAGCAAAGACCAAGCCATGAGGTCGAAGGAATTGTCCGTAGAGCTCCGAGACAGGATTGTGTCAAGGAACAGATCTGGGGAAGGGTACCAAAAAATTTCTGCAGCATTGAAGGTCTCCAAGAACACAGTGGCCATAATTCTTAAAGGAGAGAAGTTTGGAACGACCAAGACTCTTCATAGAGCTGGCTGCCCAGCCAAACTGAGCCATTGGGGGAGAAGGGCCTTGGTCAGGGAGATTACCAAGAACCTGATGGTCACTCTGACAGAGCTCCAGAGTTCCTCTGTGGAGATGAGAGAACCTTCCAGAAGGACAACCATCTCTGCAGCACTCCACCAATCAGGCCTTTATGGTAGAGTGGTCAAACGGAAGCTACTCCTCAGTAAAAGGCACATGACAGACCGCTTGGAGTTTGCCAAAAGGCACCTAAAGGACTCTCAGACCATGAGAAACAAGATTCTCTGGTCTGATGAAACCAAGATTGAACTCTTTGGCCTGAATGCCAAGCGTCACGTCTGGAGGGAACCTGGCACCATCCCTACGGTGAAGCATGGTGGTGGCAGCATCATGCTGTGGGGATGTTTTTCAGCGGCAGGGACTGGGAGACTAGTCACAGGATCGAGGGAAAGATGAACGGAGTACAGAGAGATCCTTGATGAAAACATGCTCAGGACCTCAGACTGGGACGAAGGTTCACCTTCCAACAGGAAAACAACCCTAAGCACACAGCCAAGACAACGCAGGAGTGGCTTCGGGACAAGTCTCTGAATGTCCTTGAGAGGCCCAGCCAGAGCCCGGACTTGTACCCGATCGAACATCTCTGGAGAGAACTGAAAATAGCTGTGCAGCAACGCTCCCCATCCAACCTTACAGAGCTTGAGAGGATCTGCAGACAAGAATGGGAGAAACTCCCCAAATATAGGTATGCCAAGCTTGTATCTTCATACCCAAGAAGACTCTAGGCTGTAATCGCTGCCAAAGGTGCTTCAACAAAGTACTGAGTAAAGGGTCTGAATACTTAGGTAAACGTAATATTTCCATATCATATATTTGCAGATATCTCTAAAAACCTGTTTTTGCTTTGTCCTTATGGGGTATTGTGTGTAGATTGATTGGGGGGGGGTCTGAATACTTTCCGAATGCACTGTACATGGTGAACAGGACTCCCATTTTAAAACCTGAGGAAACACCACCACACACCTTTTCTCAGAGACACACACACACACTTTCTCTCTCGCTCTCTCTCTCTCATACACTCGTGTGCAGACTTGCCCTCCTGGTTCACTGCATCATTTGATGATACAGCATTTTCTTCAAACCATTTGGTCATCATTGTTGGGTTTGAGAGATATGTATGAATGCATCTATGCTGATTCAGTGTTGATTTCAGGTTCCTGATTAAAATGAACTGACAGATGTTATCCTAAGTCCCCAACACTGCAAGAAAACCAACTGAAATATGTTGTGTCCTGTCAGCAAAGTTATTTGCTGACTTGATCAAATGTTTATACAGCATCAAAACTACAGAATAATATTGAATTTGACTGTAGTAAACTTCCATCATATCAATATATTTGTTAATGTTGATTGGTATATAAAGGTCATAGGTGCATTTGGGTCTGGGGTGATTGCGTGCCTTCCAGAAGGTGCGATGGAAAACCAGAAAGCTAGATAAGAATATCCTGATGGAAACTTGTTGGTTTTCCGCTGATGTCTGCGTCATCAAGGGGGGATTGAGACAATAAAAGAGGAGACGAAAGACTAGATTCTCCATTCCTGCTGCAACCAGACCATACCTCAAGTGAGACGACTTGTGACTGATTTTCCTTTAATATGGTTCTTTCTTTCCTCTCTCTGAATCTGATTTCACATGTTTTTCTTGTTTTTCATCATTTAGTTGTTGGCTTTATTTTAAAGTCTGCTTCTACAATGGATAAAAACATTGTAATAACATTTATAGACAATTTATAAGCAGACCTGTTTCTTTCTCTTGTCATGTATTCGCAGTCAACTCCTACATACCGACTCAGTACAATGGAATCTGCCATCAACGTACTTGTCTCCCAGTTCAAGACCTTTGCTGGGAAGGATGGATCCTCGAACACCTTGAGCAAAGGGGAGTTCAGCAGCCTGGTGGCCTGTCAACTACCTACATTTGTCAAGGTAAATCAGTCTCAGTCCCAAATGGCACCCTATTTCCTATGTAGCGCACTTCTTTAGACCGGAGCCTTATGTGCCCTGGTCAAAAGAAGTGCACTACATAGGGAATAGGGTACCATTTGGGACACAATCTTAGTCCTCTTCAGCACCCACTTCATACTTGGCATCCATTTCGCAATACATAATTATCTAGAGCAGTGAGTGAGTGGCTGAATGACAACGTGATAACAAGCATCGTATACGTGAGTGATAGCAGGCCAAATCCTTTTCTGTACCATTTCTATTGCTCTCAGATAAGCTTGCATACCCAAACACACGCATGCACGTAAAGTAGTGCACTATATAGGGAATAGGGTGCCATTTGGGATGCATCACTGGTATTTGCTCTGGCATGCTCACCCGGTGTTATAGCATAAACCTCCTTCCAACTTTGCAACCAAAGTTTGTGGAACTCAGACTCTGTGCCATTTGATCTATAGTACTGTACTATTCTTTACCATTAGATGGCATAGTAGCCTTAACCATGCTGCTCATTGTTAACCTAGTCTGGGCCTGAATGGGTCACTGTCCCATTTCTCCTCTCTGATTGCCTGCAGAACGCCAGTGATCCAGACGTGATCGAGCAGCTCATGGGCTCATTGGACGAAAACAACGATGGGGAGCTGACTTTCCTGGAGTTTTGGCAGCTGATTGGAAAACTTGCCAACAAGCAAGGGGGCTTTTAGCCAATAAAAACACTGCATGGGATTCCGTAGGACTAAAGAGTAGCATTGTGCAATATGCTACAGTCCAATTAAATGATCCTGTATGTAGCTGTGTGGCAAACTTTTGATCTGAATTGACATGCACAATTCTTTAGTTGATCATTTTCTAAAGCAGGCAACTTTGAATAAATGGATCCATTGTCTTAACTTGCCTTCTGTCTCTGGTTCATTGGCCTCAGTTTATGACAGCTATTACTCAGGTGGAGGCCTAGAGGGAGGAAAATGGGCCTGTGTGTTAGAAATGCCGGGGCCGATCTCTGGTACCAGTCCGGCCCTGTCCACCACCCTCAGGTGCATTCTCTCATTTAGTGTAGATGTATTATAACCTTGATTTAATAGCATAATTGGATCGTAACCCTACACTGCTCCCACAACTACACCAGGTACAGCGATCCTATTCCATACAGGTTTATAATGCCTATACAAAGATGCCTTTCCAAGTGTTACACAGTGATGTAAGTGCAATCTACATCCCTGCTGCTATCTACCATCTCTGTGTCTCCATTACCAGTATAAGTTGTATCCTAGGTCAACAACAATACATTGGATACAGGAGAGCTGCTTGGTGTCTGTACAAATACTGCCTGTCCCTATACTCTTGTTTAATGAAGTTGTGTTTGTTTAGTGAGGTAAAAAATAGTGCATATTCACTGCTATTTGCTCTGGCATGCTCACCAGCTGTGTTATAGCATACACTTCCCTCCATTTCATTCTGTTAAGCGACGCTTTCCAAAGTTAGACATTTCTATTGCAATTTTGATACTGGGCAACTGTGGAGTTTGTATCCTAATTAAACACAGCAAGGTGCCAGTGTGGGTGTGACGGATGACAAATGACTGTGTCAGCTCCGATTAAACAATGACACACACTGATACAGCATGACACACTCCCTCAGGGCATGTGTGTCTGTGCCTACATTTGACTGTTGTGGTCTGGATATCCTCCTGAGGCAGTGGCCACTCCCATGAGCCTGGGTGATTGAGTGGGGTAAAGATCACTACTGTCCACACAGTAGCCTAACGGCTAAACTTGTGTTCATTTCATGAAATGCAACTGGAAGTCAATTTTGGATATAAAGGGTTAAAAGCAACTCAACACTCAAGCCTCAATCCGTCTCCTCTTCCCAGCCTCCTATGAATCAGAATATCCCTCATACTCGAATTATTGGCGTGGAACAACACAAATCACACATGACATAAACTAGCACCACATACCAAAGACAATAGAATAAAGAAGAATTAAGTTCCAAGGTTGTGATACACATTTTTACCACCTCATTAAAAAAAAGGTGTCTTATCTTATCTCTTCCACATCCCCCCCCCCCCCCCCCCCCCCCCCCCCCCCCTTATCTGTCGAACTCTCCCAGGTACACGCCCTTTGACTTGTCAGGGAAAAAAGTTTAAGAAAAAACTAAATCACGGAAGAGATTATTTAGCCCTAGTTTGGCAAGTTTCTTTTGTGGTCTCAAAGCAGCGGAGATAGACGGAAAAGTAACACAAAGTTGGCCACATTTGAACTGTTCGCTTGTCCTGTAGGAAGTATATGGTGAGTTATATATTTTGTTCATACTTTATTGAAAAAGTTTTGCACTGTAAATTTGCTTAACTCATAACGCGTATGCCACGTTTTAGATACACCCTTGCAGGATCTGTCTATACGCTCTTGGACAGTGCCAATGACGACGCTGTTGGAGACTCCAAGAGACTCCAGGTTTTTTTACGTAGCAAGTAGCGGATAACGTTTGATTTCAAAGGGGGGAAAACTATTTAACTACATGTTAGTGCATTATTTATCATAAACGCATAGCTATTCTTGATCAGTCATAGCGTGTGCACAGTCAACCAAAAAATACCTGAGATAAGGCCTCTTTTGTAAACGGATATATCAGCTGATATCTAGCCTACCATGAGCCATATGAGCCTGTTTGGTTTGTACAACTGGCCTAAAATGTATGGACTATCCAAACAACATATGACCTATGCGTAAACCTACACTGTAAAGGAGTTACCGTGATTTTGACAGTAGCTTACAGGAAGCTCGGTGGCAAGTACAATTCTGTATTTCATATTACAGTACACCCACTGTAATGTAAATATAGTATCAAACCAACCACTGTGTAATGACACACAGTAAAACAAAATGGATGGATGGATGGATGGATGAAATTCGTTGAGGGGAAGGGTTTGTATTTCACAATATTTTACTGTAATTACAAGAGATTGGTGCAAGCAGGTTGGCTGCTAGGTAAAGGGTTTACGAACATTGCAGCATATTAATGAATATTTTGTTTATTTCACTTTCACTTTCTAGAGGCCTTAGCTTAGGCTTGCAAACTGGCAGTGACTACTGGGCAAAACAGACCAAAAGGACATGGCAAAATGCTTAACTATTTAAGGTTTAAGACTTGCTACCACTCGAATCTGTCCCCTATACATTTTAAAATGATGGGGCACTATAACCACATAGGACTTAAATTGGTACAGCATTCTCATTCACTGGTGTAACAAATATAGCCTCTTGCAAGGCACGCCTCAAAATATGGTAATGAGACAGAAGCAACAATACCATGCACCCACTAATGGTCAAAAGGTTTTTTGCACTCCAAACATATGGTACGGTACTGTATTCTGTGGGGTGGAATTACAGTACCATTCGAAATGCAGCAATTATTTCCCCGCCCACAACATTTTCCCACAATGCACCATAATTTACAGTATGCTGCAGTAAAACGTTTCAGATTATTTTACTGTTGATAATACAAAATATTACTGCAAAATGTACCGTTTTCCATTACAGTGTATGTGTAAGGGTGATACTATGCATTGCGACTTTATAATCTGTCATAGCCTACATACTACAACCTATTTCCTATAAGATCTCCAACAATGATAAATGTCCGAAAGTAAAACCTGTGTAAACAACCAGAGCTCAAGGCACTCTTCAATTGGCTCATAATTCTCATTCTTAAATTAGTGCACCATTGATGTTCAGCAGTTTTTTTGTAAACCTATGTGATAAATTAGAGAGGCACTGCAAGCCTGTTCGGTGCAGTATATAGCCACAACCTAACTTGTTCCTCTCTTAATATTTCATTCCACACGAGCGGTAGTATTGCCATTACTCAGAGCACGTACTGTATCACATTCGCCCATTTGGAAACACAACCCTCAATCTCCTTTGGGCTCTGAAGTGAAACGGGAAACCTCTGGGTGTCTATATTGAATTATTTGCAGAGTCGTTTTTTTGCCTTTTTCTCCCAATAATAGGGATTTGTTTATGTGTGTCGGAACTGAGGCGGGGTCAGAGCTGTCCTTGTGATGTTGGCTAAGTAATAGAAGCCCTGTGTTCATTAGTCAGATTTAGGGAGTGATGTGGCTCGACACATGCTGTCTGGCGGCCGTTTGGAGATGAGGTCTACTGTCACTGACCCTGACCGCAAGAAGGCAAAACCAGGTTGCAGCCAGGCCACCAAGTAAATAATACTTGTACGAATAGGACAGAAATGGATATGCAAGAATCGTGACTGTACCAATACTGTACCAATTTAACTATGTGGTTATATGTGGTTACATCAATTTGTACAGTGCCTTCAGGAAGTAGTCACACCCCTTGACTTTTTCCACATTTTGTTGTGTTACAGCCTGAATTTAAAATGGATTAAATAGATATATTTTTTTATCACTGGCGTACACAATTTTTTTCCCTGAAATATATTAGAAATTATAAAGCTGAAATGTCTTGATTTAATAAGGATTCAACCCTCCGTGTATGTCAATGATGTCGCTCTTGCTGCTGGTGACTCTCAGATCCACCTCTACGCAGACGACACCATTTTGTATACATCTGGCCCTTCATTGGACACTGTGTTAACAAACCTCCAAACGAGCTTCAATGCTATACAACACTCCTTCCGTAGCCTCCAACTGCTCTTAAACACTAGTAAAACTAAAGGCATGCTCTTCAATCCTGCCCACCCAACTAGAATCACTACTCTCGACGGGTCTGACCTAGAGTATGTGGACAACTACAAACACCTAGGTGTCTGGTTAGACTGTAAACTCTCCTTCCAGACTCACATTAAGCATCTCCAATCCAAAGTTAAATCTAGAATCGGCTTCCTATTTCGCAATAAAGCCTCCTTCACTCATGCTGCCAAACATGCCCTCGTAAAACTGACTATCCTACCGATCCTTGACTTCGGCGATGTCATTTACAAAATAGCCTCCAACACTCTACTCAGCAAATTGGATGTAGTCTATCACAGTGCCATCCGTCTTGTCACCAAAGCCCCATATACTACCCACCACTGTGACCTGTACGCTCTTGTTGGCTGGTCCTCACTACATATTCGTCGCCAAACCCACTGGCTCCAGGCCATCTATAAATCACTGCTAGGCAAATCCCCGCCTTATCTTAGCTCATTGGTCACCATAGCAACACCCACCCGTAGTATGCGCTCCAGCAGGTATATCTCACTGGTCATCCCCAAAGCCAACACCTCCTTTGGCCGCCATTCCTTCCAGTTCTCTGCTCTGTTGCCAATGACTGGAACGAACTACAAAAATCTCTGAAGCTGACGTCTCTTATCTCCCTCACTAACTTTAAGCATCAGTTGTCAGAGCACCTTACCGATCACTGCACCTGTACACAGCCCATCTGAAATTAGCCCACCCAACTACCTCATCCCCATATTGTTATTTATTTTGCTCATTTGCACCCCAGTATCTCTATTTGCACATCATCTCTATCATTCCACTGTTAATACTAATTGTAATTATTTTGCACTATGGCCTAGTTATTGCCTTACCTCCATAACTTGCTACATTTGCACACACTCTATATATATTTTCTGTTGTATTTTTGACATTACGTTTTGTTTTACCCCATATGTAACTCTGTGTTGTTGTTTTTTTCGCACTGCTTTGCTTTATCTTCGCCAGGTCGCAGTTGTAAATGAGAACTTGTTCTCAACTGGCTTACCTGGATAACTAAAGGTTAAATAAATAAATAAATACAATTTTGTTATGGCAAGCCTTGTGGTGAGTGATTTTGAACGGAGTCAGGCGCAGGAGGGTAAATCACAGAATGAAAGGGTTTATTCCGAAAAGCACAGCGGTACGCAGCAATGCGTCAAACACTCCAGAGCGTAAATCAGGCGCACAGGGAAACAACAATGCACACGGGTGAAATATCCCGGCGATACAAAATACAAGGAGCTCCACCGAATAAACAATTACACACAAAGACAAGGGGGCAGAGGGAACACTTATACAAGTACTGATGAGGGGATGAGAACCAGCTGTGTGTAATAAACAAGACAAAACAAATGGAATGATGAGATGAGGCTAGAAGGCCGGTGACGACGAACGCCGAAGCCTGCCCGAACAAGGAGAGGAGGCAGTTTTGGAGGAAGTCGCGACAAGCCTAAAGAAGTTCAGGAGTAAAAATGTGCTTAACAAGTCACATAATAAGTTGCAGGGACTCACTCTCTGTGCAATAATAGTGTTTAACATGATTTTTGAATGACTGCCTCATCTCTGTACCCCACACATACAATTATCTGTAAGGTCCCTCAATCGAGCAGTGAATTTCAAACAAAGATTCAACCACAAAGACCAGGGAGGTTTTCCAATGCCTCGCAAAGAAGGACACCTATTGGTGGAAGGGTAAAAAATATATATATATATATATTGAATTTATCTTGGCATGGTGAAGTTATTAATTACACTTTGGATGGTATATCAATACACCCAGTCACCACAAAGATACAGGCGTCCTTCTTAACTCAGTTGCCGGAGAGGAAGGAAACCATTCAGGGATTTCACCATTAGGCCAATGGTGACTTTAAACAGTTACATAGTTTAATGGCTGTGATAGGACAAAACTGAGGATGGATCAACAACATTGTAGTTACTATGCTTGTAATCATTAACGAGGGGGGGGGGGGGTTCTCAGGATAAAAAAATTACTGGAATGGAGCTAAGCACAGGCAAAATCCTAGAGGAAAACCTGGTTCAGTCTGCTTTCCACCAGACACTGGGAGCAAGACAATAACCTAAAACACCTGAAAATGGTTGTTTAGTAATGATCAACAACCAATTTGACAGAATAATTTTTTAAAGAATAATGGGCAAATGTTGCACAATCCAGGTGTGGAAAGCTCATAGAGACTTACCCAGAAAGACCCACAGCTATAATCGCTGCCAAAGGTGATTCTAACATGTATTGACTCAGGTGGTTGATTACTTATCTAATCAAGATATATTAGTGTTTTATTTTTCATAAATGTTTAACAAATGTTAGAATTTTTCTTTCACTTTGACATTACAGAGTATTTTGTGTAGCCCGTTGACAAAAAATGACAATTCAATCCATTTTAATTCCACTTAGTAACACAACAATATGGTTGAGCATTTTGCCATGTACTTTTGGTCTGTTTTGTCCTGTAGTCGCTGCAGTTTGGAAGCCTTTGTTAAAGCCTCTAGAAGTGCAAGTGATATAAAACACCAAATATACAATAATATACTGTATTTGTAAACACTTTACCTAGGAGCTAACCTGCTAGCAACAATCCCTTGTATTTACAGTAAAATACTGTGAAATACAAACCCTTCCCCTCAATGAATTTAATTAATTAATTCATCCATTCATTGATTCCGATTATGGTAGCATATACTTTTTTACAGTATAATACAGTGAATTTTACGTATTGTACTGTGTGACATTACACAGTACTTGCTTTGATACCGTATTTTTTTACAGTAGGTGTACTGTACTATGAAATACAGAATTGTACTTGCCACCGAGCTGCCTCGAAGCTACTGTCAAATTCACAGTAACCTCTTTACAGTGTATGCTTTTTCTTGGCGAACGTGTGTGTGTACTTTGTGCTACATTTAAATACTAAAGTTGACAAACGAGTGAGGTTGGTTCATTAAACGTGCAAACATCTCCCTTCACCGCTTTGGGGCAAACTAGCTTGGCCTGTAAATTCCTATCCTGTTTAAGTGATCTCCTCTGACAGAAATGAATGGAATTCCTGCATGGATATGTCACTCACTGTCATGCATTGTATTTTGTGCTCAGTGTGAGGGCCATCTTACACATACAGCTGTCTATTGTGAGTAATAGGACACATATCACGCATATCTCATTCAATCAGTCCAACACTCATGGGCTGTATTACACACATACAACCTGATTACTCACATATAAAGACGCATACAGCACAAACTAACACGCACATGCATGCACACACGCACACACGCACACATGCTAACATATTCACTATGTCAAATGTCTTTCAAAATCTTGAAATTAATTTTTGTAATCACATGAGAGTGCATAAGGGCGTGAGGAGGCAACAGAGAAAGAGATCGAGAGACAGAGAAAGAGAGAGAGACATACAGTTCCAGTCAAAACTTTGGACACACATACTCATTCCAGGGGTTTTCTTTATTTTTACTATTTTCTACATTGTAAAATAATAGTGAAGACATCAAAACTATGAAATAACACATATGGAATCATGCAGTAACCAAAAAAGTGTTAAACAAATCAAAATATATTTTAGTAGCCACCCTTTGCCTTGATGACAGCTTTGCACACTCTTGGCATTCTCTCAACCAGCTTCATGAGGTAGTCACCTGGAATGCATTTCGATTAACAGGTGTGCCTTGTTAATGCGTTTGAGCCAATCAGTTGTGTTGTGACAAGGTAGGGTTGGTATACAGAAGATAGCCCTATTTGGTAAAAGACCAAGTCCATCATTACTTTAAGACATGAAGGGCAGTCGAGAACTTTGAAAGTTTCTTCAAGTGCAGCCGCAAAAACCATCAAGCGCTTTGATGAAACTGGCTCTCATGAGGACCGCCACAGGAAGGAAGACCCAGAATTACCTCTGCTGCAGAGGATAAGTTCATTAGAGTTAACTGCACCTCAGATTGCAGCCCAAATAAATGCTTCACAAAGTTCAAGTAACAGACACATCTCAACATCAACTGTTCAGAGGAGTCTGCGTGAATCAGGCCTTCATGGTCGAATTGCTGCAATGAAACCACTACTAAAGGACACCAATAAGAATAAGAGACTTGCTTGGGCCAAGAAACACGAGCAGTGGACATTAGACCGGTGGAAATGTGTCCTTTGGTCTGATGAGTCCAAATTTGAGATTTTTGGTTCCAACCGCCGTGTCTTTGTTAGACGCAGAGTAGGTGAACGGATGATCTCAGCAGTGGTGGTTCCCACCGTGAAGCATGGAGGAGGAGGTGTTATGGTGTGGGGGTGCTTTGCTGGTGACACTGTCAGTGATTTATTTAGAATTCAAGGCACACTTAACCAGCATGGCTACCACAGCATTCTGCAGCGATATGCCATCCCATCTGGTTTGCGCTTAGTGGGACTATCATTTGTTTTTCAACAGGACAATGACCCAAAACACACCTCCAGGCTGTGTAAGGGCTATTTTACCAAGAAGGAGAGTGATGGAGTGCTGTATCAGATGACCTGGCCTCCACAATCACCCGATCTCAACCCAGTTGAGATGGTTTGGGATGAGTTGGACCGCAGAGTGAAGGAAAAGCAGCCAACAAGTGCTCAGCAAATGTGGGAACTCCTTCAAGACTGTTGGAAAAGCATTCCTCATGATGCTGGTTGAGAGAATGCCAAGAGTGTGCAAAGCTGTCATCAAGGCAAAGGGTGGCTACTTTTAGGAATCTAAAATCTAAAATATATTTTGATATATTTAACACTTTTTGGGTTACTACATGATTCCATATTTGTTATTTCATAGTTTTGATGTCTTCACTATTATTCTACAATGTAGAAAATAGTATAAAATAAGGAAAACTCTTGAATGAGTAGGTGTGTCCAAACATTTGACTGGTACTGTATAAAGAAGGAGAGAGAGATAGAGAAAGATAGAGAGCAGACAGGTGGCAGGTAATCCCTGAGGTAATCTGAAACCGTGGCCCTATGGTGGCTTCAGTAGATCAGATGACCTATCAAAGATCAGAACTTCCATTGTACATCACCGCTTGTCTCTCAGTCAGACTCTCTCTCACCCTTAGTTTATCGCACATCACCTGTCCATCTCCTACCTACCCTATTCTACCAAGGAGTTCAAGGCTCAACACCTGAAACCACAAGCCTTTGTGCATCTCAAGGACATCCACTGTTTCTTTTTCCACTGTGGTGGTCTATCTTTGTCTACTTAAATTAAATTGTAGATTGTCACAGAAATAATTTTGTCAAATGTGCATTGCCTGTGTCACTCAATCAATATCTCACACCATCTCTGTTTTTTTTTTCTCTCTCTCTCTCTCTCTCTCTCTCTCTCTCTCTCTCTCTCTCTCTCTCTCTCTCTCTCTCTCTCTCTCTCTCTCTCTCTCTCTCTCCCCTTTCTCTCTCTCTCTGTCTCTCTCTCTTTCTCTGCTCTCTCTTACCTTCTTACCTGCTTCCTCTCCCCCCTTTCCCCCAACCACCCTGTTCATCCCTCTCTACCAAACCCTACCCCTCTATCTCGGGGCAGAGAGAGAGAGAGCAGTCATGGAGTCGGCCATTCAGACGGTAGTGGGTGTCTTCCTGAAGTCAGCCAAGGGGAAGGAGAGTTTGGGAGGGAATGACTTCCAGAAGCTGGTGAAGAGCCAGCTCCACAACATCATGATGGTCAGTCAGACAGCAGCCTCCACACTCACCATGGCTGATGTCACTCAAATGAAGTTATAAACCAGCCATAAACACTACACCTTTTTGAACTCTTTGATTGAGCTATAGTTGTTAAGATTAAGATCACTTTAATTGTCAATTGTACACAAGGTCCAACCGAAATTTGACTTCTGCTTTATCCCAACCCCTCCGAAAGACACACATACAGTGGGGTTCGAAATTATTGACACCCTTGATAAAGATGAGAAATAATGCCTGTATAAAATAAATAATAAAATACTGAGCTATATTGTCTGCTCAAAAAAATGGGATGTAAATTTTTCTGACCTCTACCTTTTTGAGATTTGTTTGTATTACTTGTTAAACAAAATCTCTTTCTCTGAGCAATTTAATTAGTATAAAATAATATAATTTCCCCATTTTATGAAGCATACAGTATTTTAATAATTTATTTTATACAGTCATTGTTGCTCATATGTATCAAGGGTGTCAATAATTTCAAACCCCACTGTACATATACAGGTTGGAGTAGGGTGCTGCCACACTGGGCGCCCTGTAGCAGTTGTTGTAGGAGGTTAAGTACCTTGCTCAAGGGCACAATGGCAGGCAACGGTGTTTAGGATTTAATACCAGCAACCCTCTGGGTTGCAAGCTCACTTCCCACCATATTTTTCCCGTCAGACCTGGGATTCAAACTGGCAACCCTCTAACCGCTAGACTGCCTGCTGCACTAGTAAGATAATGAAGGCTTCTCGGTAATGGCTAGTGTTTGGAATAGGAGACACTACAGACTAACATATAAAATAGGGTGGGTTGCACCAACATGGATTAACTCTTAAACTTGGTTAAATCAAGGTCTATCTATTAATCATGCTGCACAAAACAGTACTGTACCTTGTGATGCAAGGGGTCAGTTACTACTGAGGTCACCTCTGCTGTCTTCACCTTTGAGTCACGTCTGCCCATCTCTGTATCTACTCTGTACCCAGGACACAGACAGCTCCGAGGCAGTGAAGAAAATGCAACAGGGCCTGGACGCCAACCAGGACGGTAAAGTCAACTTTGAGGAGTACATGAAGCTGGTGGGCTACCTAGCAACCTCCCTGAGTGTGCAATGCACCGCTGCCGTGGAGACGCCAGCCGAGAGTGCGGCCGCCACAACGGAGACCAAGAGTGCACCAGCAGCAGCAGAGGTAAAGGAAGAGAAGGCAGAAGCGGAGGCACAGCCAGAGGAGGCACAGGCAGAGCCAGAGGCAGCCACAGCTGTAGAGGCACCAGCAGAGGCAGCCACAGAAGCAGCCGTAGAGAAAGAGAAGGTTGAAGAGGCAGAAAAGGTGGAAAAGGTGGAGGATCCAGCACCAGCAGCAACCGAGGAGGAGAAGACAGAGGAGGCCTCATAGAAGTTTACCACTGGTCCTGTCCGGACATTACAATACACACCAACACCAAACTGGTACACACCTCACTACCCTAATACACACTACAGTACACTATACAACCCACCCTTCAAACAGAGTGCTAATACCATAATAATAATAATAATAATAATAATAATAATAATAATAATAATAATAATAATACCATGCAACATTACAGTATATGTTGCAACCCCACAATAACACATTTATTTTCATACACACATACGTAAACCCAGTATTTGGTACTAAAATACACGACACACAGCAACATACTATAAACCCCAATCCATATTTTCTTGATATACACTACCATTCAAAAGTTTGGGGTCACTTAGAAATGTCCTTGTTTTCGAAAGAAATGCAATTTTTATGCCCATTAAAATAACATCAAATTGATCAGAAATACAGTGTAGACATTGTTAATGTTGTAAATGGCTATTGTAGCTGGAAACGGCTGATTTTTTATGGAATATCAACATAGGCGCATTATCAGCAACCATCTGAAACTCGTTAGTCTATTCTTGTTCTGAGAAATTGCCAAGAAACTGAAGATCTCGTACAACGCTGTGTACTACTCCATTCACAGAACAGCGCAAACTGGCTCTAACCAGAATAGAAAAAGGAGTGGGAGACCCCAGGGCACAACTGAGCAAGAGGACAAATACATTAGAGTGTCTAGTTTGAGAAACAGACGCCTCACAGGTCCTCAACTGGCAGCTTCAGTGAAGTGAACAGTGAAGAGGCGACTTTGGGATGCTGACCTTCTAGGCAGAGTTGCAAAGAAAAAGCCATATCTCACACTCTCCATCTTAATCTTTTATTTTTATTGGCCAGTCTGAGATATGGCTTCTTTGCAACAGAACAAGAATAGACTGACGAGTTTCAGAAGAAAGTTATTTGTTTCTGGCCATTTTGAGCCTGTAATCGAACCCACAATTGCTGATGCTCCAGATACTCAACTAGGCTCAAGAAGGCCAGTTTTATTGCTTCTTTAATCAGCACAACAGCTTTCAGCTGTGCTAACATAATTGCAAAAGGGTTTTCTAATGATCAATTAGCCTTTTAAAATGATAAACTTGGATTAGCAAACACAACGTGCCATTGGAACACAGGACTGATGGTTGCTGATAATGGGCCTCTGTACGCCTATGTAGGTATTCCATTAAAAATCAGACGTTTCCAGCTACAATAGCCATTTCCAACATTAACAATGTCTACACTGTATTTCTGATCAATTTGATGTTATTTTAATGGGCAAAAAAATTGCTTTTCTTTCAAAAACAAGGACATTTCTAAGTGACCCCAAACCTTTGAACGGTAGTGTATGTACTTAGTATTACTAACATACATTACACTACAATTGCTTACATTGCAGCAGTACATGCCATTATATGTTGATATACTTCCCACTATATAGCACACTATACTTTATTATATGTATATATATATATATATATACATTTTGACACACCCTCTGAAATTTTGACACATTTCCACACCTGTAGAACTCAATGATCTTGATATACACTGACACACATGCAATACTAAATGTAGTTATATTTGCATTCCTTTTTTCGCCCTTTGCCTTTCTGCAATGACATAATGCAACACTATACTACAGTACATTCCACAATGTACAGTCAAGTCAGGCCATCTCAAGTTGTTCTTCTGAGAAACTTGGTTGGCTTAATGGCTTTGTATGATGCAAGCAAGCACTGATGCATGGTTGCATGACATTTGCTACACAGCAAATTCTCCAGTGTTAAATTAACATTGACAGTGTTAAATCAACACTGATATTGTTAAATTTAACACTGGTCCAGTGTCTATACGGGTCCACACTTTTCAGTGTTAAATTAACACACTGCTTAGTGTAAAGCCATATTTGAATATTTCCCAGAGTGCCTTGCCTTTCGAGTGAAGTGTAGAGTTACCACCCATGACTGTATTTGTTAGTGACAGAGACATGGTTGTTGCATTCATCAATTTTCAGTCCTGTGGCCTTCCCCAAGTGAGATCCTAAGTGAAGACATTATCATTAAAATTGTATTATTTAACACAATACAACACGTATTTCATATGGCCTTTTACCCTAATACAGTGACTTGAAACTCATGGTTTACAGGCCACATCAGGCCTGCAAGTCACATTATGCTGGCTTGCAAAGTGATGTGTAACTTCTATTGGAATCCAGCCAGAGTGGGGATATTCAACATTCAGAATGACTGCTGGGTTGAGAAGATTAAGATATGAGACCACCTTAACCATCTTAACTGGAACAACCATTTCAGTAATAGAGCGGAAGTCCAAGTACCAGATTGGATTAATTTAGAAAAATGTTATTATAAAATTAAGTATAAAATTAATGAATCAATACATAGATATTGAAACAACTCTAAAAATCTACCTGCAATAGAGCATACTGGGAAATATGATAATGATGGGCGTGGTTTTGGTTTAACACTGGTTATTAACACCAACACTGGGATTCTTTTACACCAATTAGTGTTAATTTAACACTTACAGAGCGAATTTAACACCTGCATCAATATTAGAAATGTTACACTGGCCAATTTGCTGTGTAACATTGTGTAAGTGCTCTCTTTCTCTCTCTCTTCTTCCCTTGTTCTCTTTCCTTGCAACTCTGTCATTGAAATGAAGCTCTGACATGGCATGACATGACAATAAACTAATTGTGTTGCTGGGGTTCTTAGTTCAGACTAGTCTCTCTCTGTCTCTCTGTCTTTGCTTCGTCTATCTCATTTCCTGCAAGGTCCAGGCAGGGCAGCATCTGGAGTTTATGGACTCCTCTCCACTACTAGCTAGCCAATAGCCATGGAAGAGCTGGAAGATCAGGTGTGTGTCCTAATTATGGCCTTCTGGTAAATAATTGAGGGCCCAGGATGGAATCAACACCAGGGGACCCTTGCAGCCCCATGGGAGCCCAAAATAGCCCTCAAGCAGCAGGCCGCTGACGCGGGGAGGCCCCTAGGGGCCCTTGATATGGGTCCCGAGCCGTTTGTCCATGCAACCCGATCCACCAGGATCAGAACCAGGAGGAAAGGAAAACAAAACAGACACCCAAACTTGAAGAAAAGGGGCTCTTATAGCCTGTTGGAGACGTCACACCTGATGTGAAAAGTCACAACAGAAACTTGACACTTGTTTAGGTATTGTGTTGGTATTGTTTCTACAAAAAAAGTTGTTATCTAGAACCTAAAAGCGTTCGTCGGCTGTCCCCATAGGAGAACCCTTTGAATAACTATTTTTGGGTTCCATGTAGAACCCTTTCCACAAAGGGCCAAAAGGGTTCTAACTGGAACAAAAAAGTGTTCTACCTGGAACCAAAAAGGGTGATCCTATGGGGACAGCTGAAGTGTATTGTTGTTGTTGTTTTCCTCCTGGTTCCACTACCATCAGGTTTGCTGGGTTACCTGGTCACACCCCTGTTCTCTGTGTTGAGAGACCCTGTTTGACCTGCAACTAGATCCCAGTGCTTAAAACCATTTACTTAGTCATGGCTTAAAACCATTGACTTAACCATAGTGGGCACACCCTTGGACAAAAACCAACACAAGACTTACTTGATTACTGATAACTATCTGTGACTCATCTGAATATCCTGAGTTCCAACGAAACTGCCAGACCTGGGTTCAAATACTATTTGAAATATTTGAAATGCTTTGAGTGTTTGCTTTAGCCTGCCTGGGGTTTGACATTTATTGACTATTCTATTGGTCCATTAAACCAGGCAACCTTGGCAAAGGATTTCAAATAGTATTTGAACCCAGGTCCGTAAACTGCTTTACCCCTTAAACCAGTAGTGTTACAGAGAGTACTGTTCAATGTTTTGGCCTTAAAAACATGAAATATACTGAGCCATCAGACATCTGAAAACTATGTAGAGTGATTCTTATCTGCATGTGAATATTATTTACTATCTAGTATTTTGTTAATATTACTACCTTTTATTGATAAAGAAGCTACTATTATATGATATTAGAACTATTATTACTCCAGCCATTCTAATGGCTTGCATTGTATATGATAGTCTTTTAGCAAGTATATCCTGAATAGGACCACAAACAAGTTTTGGAAGCCTTAAAATTACTGTCCAGTGAAATCTCACTTTTAAAAACGAATATTCTGTTAACTCATACCCAAATAATGTTGTTGACTCGTCCTATACTCGTTTTGTGGCCAAAACATAAATTAGTATTTGAGGCCAAAGAAATTCCTAATTTAACGTGATGTTAAGTTGGCTCAATGGCTGAGCTGGCCAATCAGCTTCAGCTGCCTGACTAAACTAACCAGAAGGGAGTGCTAGAAAGCTGGCCGTTTTTACATTAATTTGTATTAATATTTTTCAATGACCGGTAATATGCCTAAACCACTTTGTTGTTGGGGTATGCCCACACCATTCAAACACAGAAAAGCTGCTTTTTAACTTTATTACCATTTCTTGGAAGGAAAATTGTTTCATTCATATTGTAATTAATTATAGGTCATATTTAATAGAAATCTGGAAACCCTGGACAGTCTTTAATGGAATGCAGGGGTTGTACTGTACAGCCCAACACACAGGTTATTTACACACTAGTAATTATTTGTCGGATAGATACAGACAATTTGTTAAATTGTAGTTTAATAATTTGTAAATTGTCCCTCATTAATAATGCAGTCATGGGAAAAAGCTCATGTTGCATCATGCATGCGACCACATAGCACCACCAACCGGGACATTGAGATATACAGTATAAATACTTGTTTATTATGACAGGTTGAGCTTCAAACCCTTCAGTGAAAGAGAGGATGTAAAATCTACTAGTAAGAATGACATGTAATGAGGTCAAAATGTCACACTTTGACACTTGTAAAAAGTATTCCCTTTACTTATCCAAGCATTTTACTACACTCTTCATTTAAACTAAGGAAAGCAAAGGCTCATCTGCATTCTTTACTCATCAGAGCATGCTTTTTTCAACTAAACCTAGTTAAAGAGCATATTTCGTACTGTAATATTATTTGCTGAGGAAACCAATGTATTTTACAGTGACGCACAACGACATTACTTTACGCCAGTCCTATCTCGACTATGTGAAAAACCATGCCACTCACTAGCACCATCTGCAGTTAGCACCATGCTAACATTTCCTGGTAATGCTACAGTATGTACATAGGCCTCATCCACTAGCACAGTGTACTGTATGCATGAGCTAGCTGTGTACCCTCCTGCAGTTCCCCACAGTCTAAACATCAGCACTATGCACACCTGTGTTAGAATGGTGTCCACTCAAGAATGATGAAACTATGACACTCTGTACCTAAATTCAAGTAGGCTGACACTATAGCTTGATAGACAATGTGACCTATCACACTGTGCCCTACCCCGGTGTATTCCAATAACTCTGCTATGTACCAGGGTTTGGTTCCATTCCAACTCAGCCAATTCAGTAGATTAATTGAAAAATCCTCACCAAACGTAAACAGCAATTCTGTGAATTGGCTTAATTAAAATCAAATTGACCCCAAATCTGATTTGTACAGGATACACAGATCTTTTCCGTTTCCAGGAGGTCTCTTTTCCAATGGTATACTATACTAAATAGACAGAAGTGTTTACAGGTAGACCATCCCACCACACAACATGCTGTTGCACACAAGCTCTCTCACAGAGCCACTGCCATGCTCACCAAAAGCCATAATAATGAACCACTATGCCAATGTTACACCTTCACAACCAATGCTGTATCATTTTCGCCAAACTACGCTAATAGTATTCATGTAACCACTGTGTAACGGCCCATAATAAAATAAAATACTTTGATGCTAACACGCGAGCCTGTTGTCTGATCTGTCCTGATGCTACTGTTTCGTGCTGAGGTCAAAAACTCTGTCTTTATGTGTGAGCACCTGAGACGAGAGGGAGGGAAGGGAGGGGGGCGAGGAAAGAGTGAGAGAGAAATAGAAGCAGGGATGGTGGTACGTAGGTGGGTTGGTGGGAGAGAGGAAGAAGAAGGACGAGGGGACAGGTGATATTTAAGCAGCTGTCCGACTCTCTCCTCATCTTTCATCCGTCTTTCCTTGGCTCTATCTCCTTCTCATCTCTCTCTCCCTCTTTACCAAAGACAAAGGAGGTCCTCCATCAGCACTCAGGTAAGATGGACAGGTTAAGGCACAACTTTGCCCCTCTCCTTTTTTCTTCTCTGTAACTGATAACTGTTTTCTGGGATCAGCTTTACCCATGTTTTTATATATGTGCCTTATTGCGAATAGTGGAACACTTTTTCACAGTGAGATACCGGCGAGGACCTTGGTATCCAGAGCAATAAGACTTATGGGGCGATAAGTTGAGCCCATCACCTCAAACTTCAATTGGTTTGCCTGTTGTAAAGGAGGTTTAAAATGTTTGAGTTGGACAGACCAAAACCTGTGAAGAAAATAATTATTTCTATCTAATGCTCAGAAAGTAAGATAACTTTTTCCATCAATGCTAATGTTTAAAATATCTTAATTTTAAGACAATCTAAGAAACATAATGAAAGAATCCGTCAGTTTAAGATTTTTCTGCCTTTGTCGTCCTTCTTCATCTGCGGTGGAAGGTAGCCGAGCTACGGCGGTGTTTGTCAGACCATAAGACTTCCCGAAAATCGGTCTTCTCACGAAAACGTCTGTAGAGTCCGAACGGTTTGGCCTTCAAACTAATACCACTCTATAGAAAGATGAGACTCTCACAAACACGATGGTGTTCTCCGTTTTGGTCTACGAGTGTCATGGGACTGGTCGAAAGGTAACTAACATTAAAAAAATGGATGGAAGTATGGAGGTGGTTTTGTGCCAACAAAAAAAAGGGGTTAAATATGTGTCCAAAAAACAAAAGCTTTCTTATATCTCCTAGTTATAGGACAGACACTGATTTATTTTTTGACTGTCTGTTTGGCCATTTATGAACGTGTTATTCAATGTGTTTCTATGGGCTATAGTAGTAAAGGCTAAATTCTATATTTTATCAAATCATTTTTTATACCTCCCAGAATTCTAAATCAAATCAAAGCTAAATGATCCATGGTGTGACCATCTTAAAACAATTCCATGTGTTAGCTTAATATAGGGGTCTCCAACAGGTCGATCGCGAGATACCAGTATCTCGCAGGCCACCTATGCGTCGCCAAACAATTCTGAAAGTACATGCAATTTTCACGTTCTACCCAAACTGTCATAAACAAATATCACAAGTATCAGACACCGCTAACTATCTAATCTAAGCAACATTGACATTATCCCACCCCTGGTTAGCCACTATTGGCTTAAAAAGCTACACTGAACATAATATCTGCCGATTAATTTCCAGCAATATTGCCCCTGTCTGTGTGGTGCGCGTGTTTGTCTATCACTCAGTGTGTAGCCAGTTGATGTGATAACCATCTTGTGGGTTGACAGAAATACTTTCCCCAAAATCTTCTCAATTAAATGTTAACTGCAAAGTAGGCTTACCTGGCAGAAGTATATCATGAGGAAGTATGTCATTTGTATCTATTATTTGCTAACTTTGCCATGAAATGAGCAGCAGCAGTACAGAACCATCACTAGACCTGCACATTAGAAGGCACATTCCTCACTTGCTAGATGCTCAATAAAAGAGCGAAAAACTAAATAAATCTAAAACCAGGAAAAATTTAACTGAGAAAACATCATATGGGAAAATATAAAACAGAATTTGGGGAAAAAATCACATATTTTATATGGCCCCCCTTAAGAGTAGTTTATTCATCATTATTTACCAGGTATGTTGACAGAAAACATAGTGCACTACTTTCTCGTGTACAGTAAGAACCTGGGGAAAAGTTGCAGGGGAGAGGAGAAGAGAAGAATGTTCCTATTTGAAAGCTAGAAAAAAATGAGTAGCTAATGACATGTTTCATTTTTTTTAAGTAGCTCTAGAAAAGGTTGGAGACCCCTGGTTTAGTAGATTGTAGATTGTAGTGTGTGTGTGTGTGTGTGTGTGTGTGTGTGTGCGTGTGTGTGTGTGTGTATCTCAGGTTACCAGATCACCTGGCCTGAGCTCCTGATTGTGATTGCCAGGTGGTTTATCTGCATTTTGACAGTTTTGTGTTTCACTTGCGGTTTCCTTCTGTTACTGTTACATGATCAATATGATTGTGAAACCCTGAGACCTCCATCTCAAGTTACCTCAGTGACATTATCTTTACTTAACAAGCAGTTTACAAGTCTGTCAACTGAGAGATTAAATGACCTATCTGTGTCTGTGTGCGCACAGTCTCTCCAACAAAACAACTCAAGAAGATTCCAAGATGCCGGACAGAATGTGTGTAAGACTGTTCCTTTTAAAAAGCTGTCCCTTCATCTCTCATCCCTCACATCTTTCACATGTCAAACCAAGTAAGGTTACAAAACACTATCCAGTGGCCACAGTATGTCGAGAAGGAATAGCTCATTTGTAGCCTGTAATTTAACCTCTGCATATAGTAGCCTAGGCCTAGAATTGGGACACCTCTTTCTCTAGTTTGCTGATCTTTTTCCGTCCGGCGTGTATGTTTCACTCTTTCTTGGTGGAGGCTTCACACCCATGTCCGTCATGTGACCGCACATGCGGCTGGGATGGAGCGTGCATCCTTTCATAGTGTCTGACCTCTGCCCTTCCCTCCAGTATGTCCAAGGAACCATCTTCCAACCTGGAGAATGCCATGCAGATGCTGATCAAAACCTTCCACAAGTACTCGGGGAAGGAGGGGGATAAGTACACTCTGAGCCGGGGAGAGCTGAGAGAGATGTTAACAGAGGAGCTGGGGAGTTACTTAGGGGTAAGAGGAGTGTACACGTCGAGAGAGAGACACACACACACAGACACACACACGCAAACATACATACACACCAGTGGAGGCTCCTCAGAGGAGGAAGGGGAGGACCATCCTCCTCAGTGAATTTCATACAAATAAAAATGGTAAAACATTGAAAAAGTTATCCTTTTTAGATAAAACTAAACTAAATATATTCAAGTCACAAAATAATTGATAAAAAAAAACACACTGTTTTGCAATGAAGGTCTACAGTAACCTCAGCAGCACTCTGTAGGGTAGCACCATGGTGTAGCAGGAGGACAGCTAGCTTCCGTCCTCCTTTGGGTATATTGACTTCAATACAAAATCTAGGAGGCACTTGGTTCTCACCCCCTTCCATAGACTTACACAGTAATTATGACAACTTCCGGAGGACGTCCTCCAACCTATCTGAGCTCTTGCAGCATGAACTGACATGTTGTTCACCCATTCAAAGGATCAGAGAATGAATCTAGTACTGAAAGCATAAGCTACAGCTAGCTAGCACTGCAGTGCATAAAATATGGTGAGTAGTTGACTCAAAGAGAGAGAAAGACAATAGTGGAACAGTTTTCAACAAATTAATTTCTTCAAAATGAAGGAGAAGCAAGAGAGAGAGAGATTGTGATTTTTTTTCAGTTTCAGTTTCACTTAGCTAGCAAATGCAGCTGGCTAGATTAGTTACTCAAACACTCTGCTCAAACAGAGGGATGCTATGGTAGCTAGCTGGATATGACTATCCAACACAACACTGGAACTCTTCCTAGTCAAGGTAAGCTTTTGGTTTTATTAATTTATTGCCACCGGAGTCCGACGGTGTAACTGCTTACCTACTATACACTGTAACGTTACTGCATGATTGTAGCAGGTTTACTAACGCATTAGTTCTATTAGCTATGTTGACTAGGACGTTACTTTAGCTAATATGGGGACAACGATGTAGGCTGTGTGTAGCGGTTATGACATTTTGGTTTGGAAAGGTTTTTTCACCATACAGCTGATGTGTTGTCATTGAAGTCCACAAATGAAGGGAAAAGGTGAGAGGAGGAGAGTGCATACGAGAAGGAATACAACGTGGCTGCTATGAAAGTGTACACAGCCCATCTGTAATTAGCCCATCCAACTACCTCATCCCCATATTGTTATTTATTTTGCTAATTTGCACCCCAGTATCTCTATTTGCACATCATCTTTTGCACATCTATCATTCCAGTGTTAATACGAAATTGTAACTATTTTGCACTATGGCCTATTTATTGCCTTACCTCCATAATTTACTACATTCGCACACATTGTATATATATTTTCTGTTGTATTTTTGACTTTATATTCTGTTTACCCCATATGTAACTCTGTGTTGTTGTTTTTATCGCACTGCTTTGCTTTATCTTGGCCAGGTCGCAGTTGTAAATGAGAACTTGTTCTCAACTGGCTTACCTGGTTAAATAAGGTGAAAAAAAACAAACATGTGTTTATGCATGATCAGGGGTGTATTCATTCCTCCGATTCTGTTGAAAAACGTTTCTTAAATGGAATCAAACGAAATGGGGATAAAAATACCTGAATTTGTCCAACAGAAACTGCAACTGTTGGTCTAAAGATTATACCCTAGATAAGCTAAATGCAGGCAAGTGTGGAAGGCGGCACTGAATGTGTCACTGTCTGTCCATGTGTCACTGTCTGTCATCTCAAATGTTTCTCTCAACCTGTGTACACCTACGTTGTAAACTTTCATTCATAGGCTAGGTTGTAGCAACCTCATGAAAAGTAGAGTATCATGTAGTAGCCTAAACCTATCGATGTTACATTGAACTAGGTGAATGGAATATGAATGACAGTCATCCAACATGCTGTAATAGAAATAAGGCCATGCTCCTCCCTCATCATAAACGGCACTGACCGCCACTGATACACACACATGCACACACACATACACAAACACTCACTCACAGGCAGAAAAAATACATGTACTGACAAGAATACACACAATTCATCACCTCTTCCTCTCCCTCTTTTCATCCAGAACGCCCGGGATGGAGAAGGGGTTGAGAAGGTGATGAACGACTTGGACGCCAACAGCGACGGCGAGGTGGACTTCACAGAGTTCATCATCCTCATGGGAGCTCTGACGGTGGCCTGCAATGACTTCTTCATGGAATACAAGCCCGAAAAACTCATCCACAAGCCCTTCGAAAAAAAGGAGGCAACGACAGAGGAGATGAAAGAGTGAAGGAAAGATGGGAGGAGGGGGATGGACTGGGAGGAGGGAAGGGGGAGATGGAATGGAAGGGACAATGAACTGTAGAGCAACAGTGAAAGGGTATAATTTATGGTTGTATGGTCATCTTATTCAATTTCTAAACAGTGTAACTGCAATGTGTGAAAAGAGGCTGAGAGAACGTCACTGTGTTAAAAAAAGTAAAGTTTAGCTGATGTGTGTTCCCTCTGCAACTATCCAAATACTTTTCATACCACAGCTAAGTCACAGGTCCGGAGTCAGTTACTCTGTGTTCTCAAATCCATGAGTGGCACTGTATACCGCAGAGGTCAGCAACAGGCGCACTGCGGGCCAAAATCGGCACACAAGTGATTTTTAGTGGAATTTTATTTTTAATTTTTTTTGGTATATAAAAAAATTACTGAAATCACCAGGAATTTAGCAAAAAATGTGTTTATCTTAGGAAATCTGTTCCCAAGTATTCCCACGAATAAACAAATGTGATATGTGATCAATGTAATCAATTACTGTTATTTTCAAATAAAAACTATTTTTGGGCTTAGTTGTGGTCAATTTTCAGTGTACAAATTATGATAATTATGTTACGGCCCCACGACCATCCTCTCGGACAAAAATCATCAGCGGCTCAATCTAATTGCCTACCCCTGGTATCCAGGGTAGCATGTGTGAGTTCAGTTGTGTTCCCTATCTAGCCTCAAATTCCAATTCAACTGTTTAAATGCTTTGGTTATACAGTGCCTTCGGAAAGTATTCAGATCCCTTGACTTTTTCCACATTTTGTTACGTTACAGCCTTATTCTAAAATTGATACAATAGTTTTTTTTTTCCCCTCATCAATCTACACACAATACCCCATAATGACAAAGCAAAAACAGGTTTTTACACATTTTAGCTAATGTATGAAAAATTAAAAACTGAAATATCACATTTACATACACTACCGTTCAAAAGTTTGGGGTCACTTAGAAATGTCCTTGTTTTCGAAACTGCCCATCTTAATCTTTTATTTTTATTGGCCAGTCTGAGATATGGCTTTTTCTTTGCAACTCTGCCTAGAAGGTCAGCATCCCGGAGTCGCCTCTTCACTGTTGACGTTGAGACTGGTGTTTTGCGGGTACTATTTAATGAAGCTGCCAGTTGAGGACCTGTGAGGCATCTGTTTCTCAAACTAGACACTCTAATGTATTTGTGCTCTTGCTCAGTTGTGCACCGGGGCCTTCCACTCCTCTTTCTATTCTGGTTAGAGCCAGTTTGCGCTGTTCTGTGAAGGGAGTTGTACACAGCGTTGTACGAGATCTTTAGTTTCTTGGCAATTTCTCGTATAGAATAGCCTTCATTTCGCAGAACAAGAATAGACTGACGAGTTTCAGAAGAAAGTCATTTGTTTCTGGCCATTTTGAGCCTGTAATCGAACCCACAATTTCTGATGCTCCAGATACTCAACTAGTCTCAAGAAGGCCAGTTTTATTGCTTATTTAAATCAGTACAACAGTTTTCAGCTGTGCTAACATAATTGCAAAAGGGTTTTCTAATGATCAATTAGCCTTTTAAAATGATAAACTTGGATTAGCAAACACAACGTGCCATTGGAACACAGGACTGATGGTTGCTTGAGTAAAAGTAAAGATACCTTAATAGTATTTTTCTCAGCTTTTAATTTCCTTAAAACCAGTCAAACTGATGACATTTGGACATTTTGCACAGGACCAATCTTTCCACTGTTTTGGAGTTGCGTTTTCTCCCTGGTCCCTAAACAAAACAGACAACTTTACCTGTGTTAACTAGATTACTAATGCATTCATTCTATCGATGGAAGACATTCTGGTGAGCACTCCTTTATTTAGTCTTGAGGGGCAACAAGTTATGACAGAAGAGAAGCTGCAAGTATCAAACTATTGTTGACAAACAAATGGCCTACCAAATGTCGGAAATTATAATATGGCCTACCAAATGCTCAACTCTTTTCTGTGTGTATCAAGAATGATCCACCACCCAAAAGGACATCCACCCAACTTCACACAACTTCACCACCTCCGGCTCTACCAGGGGCATGCTTGAGGTGGTCTCTGTGTTCTGTGGCCTTGCCGTTCCATTTCTTGACTACCCCTGCAACACAGAAAGAAACACATTTAGTTATATTATATAAAACACTAAAAGTAATGAATTAGGTCTGGATGCACAAAAGTCTCATTGTGCTCGCAATAGGTTCAGATCTGCCAGGATGGGCATTGTATTCGGAATTTGACAAAAGTCTGGACACTATAAGGCCACTTAATATTCATATGTAATGTAAAGCGAGGAGTGGGGAAAAGTACATTCTACACAAATTAGTTTAATAATAACAAAGAACAAAAAAAACTTTCATACAGCCATAAGGGGCGAGAAATTACATGAATATCGGTGGGAAATTTGCACTAATGTAAATGAACATAGATTATGGAACATATTCCCTTTTGCTTACGAGATGTACCGCGATGGTTACAAATACTTACCATCTAAACCATTTGTGACCTCTCACCTCACTGGCTGTAGAAGTGTTCTTCCCAACCATTCCCTCAACAGCTCTCTGACTGAGCTCCACCCTCACTGGGTCCTCAGAGGAGAGGAAGGCTGGGAAGAGATGGAGGGATGAAGGATGAACAGATCAATCATTCAACAAGTCAGTAAAATAAAGAGAGTGTTGATAAGCTTTAATGTCCATCTCCTACCCATGAATAGGCCTATATACTGTATCTTACCCTCCAGACAGTCTCTGAGGTAGTGAGGTGGGGCGGCTTGGCTCATCTCCTGGTCAGTAGGGGGAGAGTGAATCATCACTGGTTCATACATACACAGGACAGGGACATAGAGCCTAGTTAATACATCACTACTATACCATGTCTTCTGACAGGGACATAGAGCCTAGTTAATACATCACTACTATACCATATCTTCTGACAGGGACATAGAGCCTAGTTAATAGAACACTAGTATAGAGAGAAATAGAAATGGCATCTTTTGGTAGGCACTAACTCCGCCATGGTTCGTTGTACAAAGCCTACGGGGAAACTAATGGCGTTTTTGGATAAACGCCGAAAATAAGGTCTGTGGTAAACACAGGCTTAGTAGATCATATGTTTTGTTCTATGAGATAATCTTCATCAGCCAGCGACACTTTTTGTGAATTTTGAAGCATTTGTCATCATAAAAAGCACATAAAGGCTTCATAATTCATAAAGGTCATGTTAACTGACTGATATTATCTCATAAAACAAAACGTATAAGCCTGTGTTAACCTCAGACTTTATTTTCGGCATTTATCCCTAAACCCTATTCTTTCCCTATAGGAATGGCTGAACAAACCAGAGGTAACTTGTTTTTAGGACTACAAGCTGGCAAGCTCTTTACCATGCCTTCTTAACTGCCCGTGGGAAGATTCATTAAGTTTAAATGATTTGAATTAAATATAAAACTTCAGTCTGACAGACAACATTATGTTAATAAATGTAGTGTATAACAAGAGGTATTACAGAGTGTTATGGGTTTGATGATGATATAGCTATCTCTTAACCTATCCAGCTCTGAGTCTGGGTCAGCTCCTGATTTCCGGGACACTGAAGCAGCCTGGGATGGTACTACCTGAGAGGGTACAGTCTGCCCTTCGACCTCTTGAGGAAGAGCCAATCTGTCAACAAGCGTCACCGGTTTCTTCATCAGACAGTGGAATCATCAGTGAGGGCAGCTCCTTGGTCTCCTCATCCTGAGGGAAAGAAACACTGAACATACACCCTTCCCTGTGTCCTACACAGGACTCATAACAAGGCAGTCATAGCCTACTGTAGGGGTGCACCTAAATAGTCTACAGTGGCTTCCTCTATCTCCTTTCATTTGCACTGATCTGAACAGCAGATAGGTGAAAGCATTACGGTATTTGTTTTCACCCGTTCAGTTCATTCAGATCAGTATGAGCAGAGAATAGAATTTAGTAACAGTGAGCCACTTCAGACTATTGAGATGCACCCAAAACCTTGGGTAAGGTCCCATACTGTACATCGAATTTGAGCTTGTCACCGTTGATGTCCATGCAGGAGCGGAGACACTCCCCCAACACCGTGCCCCTCACACGCACTACACTGCTGTCCAGGTGGCTCTGCATCCCTCCCAGCATTAACTGCAGCAGCTCTGACAGGTGAAAGGACATGAGGGTCGTGATCATTAGGCACCAAACAGAAGAAAACAGATTTCAACAAGGCGGGACTACATGGACACATCACATTACAAAACGCTTATAGTCGTTTACCTAGGAAATTTTTTATTTTTATTTCTCAAATGAATACAACCCGGAGGCAGTCAGGTCAGAAAATAGTATGAACAGCTATGATCCTGTGACACAATACTGTGCCATAGTGTTGGGGGTGTTACCTGAGGTTAGCTCCTGTAGCTCTGCATCACTCAGTAGTCCCACACACAGCAGCAGAGCCAGGCTCACATAGAGCTGCTGCTCCAGAGGGGGTTGGCCCTGGCCTGGCACAGCAACCGCATCATCTGGACACACACGCACGCACGGTCATACACACAATCAACAATTTTGTCCTAAATACATATATCACAACACTAAAGACTTCGTTGTACACTCACCTAAAGTTGAAGTGGGAGGTTTACATACACTTAGGTTGGAGTCATTCAAACTCGTTTTTCAACCACTCCACAAATTTCTTGTTAACAAACTGTCGTTTTGGCAAGTCGGTTAGGACATCTACATGACACAAGAAATGTTTCTATCAATTGTTTACAGACAGATTATTTCACTTATAATTCACTGTAACACAATTCCAGTGGGTCAGAAGTTTACATACACTAAGTTGACTGTGCCTTTAAACAGCTTGGAAAATTCCAGAAAATGATGTCATGGCTTTAGAAGCTTCTGATAGGCTAATTGACATCATTTGAGTCAATTGGAGGTGTACCTGTGGATGTATTTCAAGGCCTACCTTCAAACTCAGTGCCTCTTTGCTTGACATCATGG